ATATTTTTTTATTTAATAATTTCCAAAAAAAATTATTGACTATAGCCATATTGTAGAGTTTATTTTTATGAAAATATCGGCGTTTCGGCATTTTATTTTCATTAATTTCCTGATTTTAATTTTTTTTTTTAGTTTTGAGAAAAATCGCGAATTATTTTATTATTATTTTTTTTTCATTTATTATATTTAAAATGTGTCAACATATTACATGTTATTACAAGTTTATATACAATTAATGCGAATTATTTAACACCATAGTATTATCAAACATGTGGAACGCGCGGCGCGCGTGCTCGTACGACCGGCTGARCGCTTTCAGTGTGCTTAGTAAGGTATAATCATACTTTATTTCTTCAAAATTAGAAAAAATATTAAAAATCAGAAAATTAGTGAAAATAAAAGTATGAAACGTCAATATTTTCAGAAAAATAAACTCTATAAAATGGCTATCTTTAATTTTTTTTTAAATAATTAAATAAAAATATATATTTTTTGCCAAACCATTAAAATAAATTAAAAATTAAGTGATTTTAGTTCTTATCTCTGTGAGTCTTATAACAAAACCAGAATTTTGATATCTCCATTATTTCGTGAGATATTTCAATGGGTAAATTTTCGCGGGACATCCTATATAGTTGCGATATAGTAATATTATGATAAAATACAACTCAGGGTAATAGTCGCAAAAATTATCAACCCCCATGGCATTGAACACATACAACTATACCTATATTGATAATACAATAAAATAATTAAAAAYACAATTCATCACAGATTTGTATTATATTATTATAACTAGACAAGGCTGGAAATCCGTTGCATCGCCATTTCTCTTAATCTATACTTCTGCACTTTGCCCGATGCCGTCATCGGGAACGCGTCCTTTTCGATGAATATGTGTTTAGGAATCTTGAAATGGGCGATCTGAAAAAAAAAAAAAACATAAACATTATACGAAACTGTAGAGGAGTTATCTGTGGCTCCATCAAATGAGCCGCGGCCCGAACACAAACCTTTCCTTTGCTGTACGCTTTTATGTCGGCTTCGGTGACCGTAGCCCCTTTTTTAAGAATTACGCTAGCACACACTTCTTCACCCATCCGATGATCGGGTATACCGTATACCTACGACAAAAAGCGATTATCCATCTATTGTGTTTGTATAAAATATGTGTTAAAAGTATATTRAAWTACAACAATAATAATAATAATTATAGCCAGAATAGTAATAGTACATGGTCTCAAATGTATATATCTTGCACTTATTTAGCGTTCGAGTAAAAAGTTCAAACATCACRACAGTTGATAATACAATATTATTTACTGTAATAATGTATTTCATCAAACATGAGCCATGTACCGTGTAACGAGTTAAACATTAACATTTTCAAAATTTTGC